CCCCCAATCACATGGGACCTACCAAACTTTCATTGTTGATATTGTTAGTAAACACATCAATGTTCGGAATTCTCTCATTCCTTTTCCTGTTGATGATACATAAACATATGCCATAAGTGGAAGGGTAATTACTGCTTGATAAATTCGAAAGAGTGGAATTAGTTTTTTAATAGTTCCGAGCAAAGTTCTGTGGAAGCTCTTGAACTCTTCTTTAATGCTTATTGATGCCAAGACACACGACTATATAGTAGTTTTGTACTTTTTAACTTTCAGTTACTGTTCTAGGCTTCGAGCATAACCTGCCTATTAACTGAGCTCCCTTGATGTTCTTTTGAGGCTGCTTATATGGATTCTGAAGCTGATGCTAAGACTTTGTATTTCCAGGCTGCTTAACGTCAAAAACTAAGTTACAAGTTACCATGTTTATGATCTTTTTATTCGGGTGAACTTCCTATTATCCTTGCTTTGTACTTCATTATTCTTTTTGTCTTAAATCTTAATAAAATATTGTTTCTTAAAAAGAAAAAAAAAAGGTCAAAACTAAGTTGATGTAAAATTTTCACGGAGATCTTCTTGCATATGCTCCGAGTACTACACTAGACAAACCTTTTCATAGAACTTTTGGAAGATATCTTTTCATGGAGTTCTTATCAAGGGAACCTTTGGGCTTCTTTCCAAGGTATCATTGATGTAACCTTTTTGGGGGTGTCTGCTGGTAAGTAAACTGCAATGATAAAGGTGATAGAAGGTCTTAATTGAAAGTGATTGGGTAGCCATAAGGTGCTAATTGAGAGATGGTGAAAATGTCTAAGCATGGCCTAGGACAATAGAAGGAATTACTAGAATGTAAGTGGTCTTGGTGCCTAAAAATTTCTTACATGGCGTTAAATGCAATTGAAGCAAAGCCTGACTAAGGACATAACCGGAAATACGTGATAAGTTATGATGAAATGATATGAACAGTAAATTTGATGAAAACATATGAACTGTAGGTTTGATAGAAAGACAAATCAATGTAATATGGCCGATTATGGGTTGATGTTTAGGGGAGTTGAATTCAATTTGATTTTCAGAGTTAGCAGCAGTAGTTTTTGTTATAATGCTTTTTGTCTATGTAACATATCTAACTACCTCTCTCCTTAAGAATTTTAGTGGCGTTCATTTCTTCTTCCTCCTCTTCTTCTTCTTCTTTTTTATTTTTTTATTTTTTTATTTTTTTATTTTTTTTTGCTCCTCTCTATTGCTCCAAATATCTTTCCTATGTTTTCCAAAGACATTAAGGGCGCGACCGTAAAGGAATGTAATGGAAAAGGTAATAGGATTGGAAATGAAAGTAAAGTAATAAGATTAAGGGTCATTCATTCCCTTCAATGTGTTTACTTGACTATTAGATGGTGTAATGGGAAACAACCCCATTCCCTTTCTTATGTTTACTAAAATTAGGAATAGCAATGTTATGAATGTAATCACTAAAATGTCCATTACAAATTTTGTAAGTAAACACATTATTAGATGGATAAGGGAATCAGTCCTTACTTCCCCTTTCCCTTTGATGCAAAGTATACATGCCCCAAGTGCTTTCAGGATAATTAGCTTTTGTTGTGTCTCTAATCTCATGGGAAGTTAACTGAGTACTTGGATTGTCATTTGGTGACAGGGATTTCGAAAGATTGATCCTGAGAGATGGGAATTTGCTAATGAAGATTTTGTGAAAGATCAAAAGCATCTGCTTAAGAATATCCACCGTAGAAAACCAATTCACAGCCACAGTAACCCTCAATGTTCTTTAGTGGATCCAGAAAGAGCAGCTCTTGATGAAGAAATAGAGAAGCTTTCACGTGAAAAACTTGTGCTTGAGGCAAATATTGCTCGTTGCAAGCAGCAGCTAACAGCAAAGCATCAATTGGAAAATGTAACGCAGCGGGTGAATGGTATAGAGAGAAGGCAGGATAATTTGCAAAGTTTTCTAGAGAAAGCTGTTCAAGATCCCGCTTTTATAGATTATGTCATCGAGAGAATTGAATCGATGGATTTAGCATATAATAAGAAAAGACGCCTCCCTGAAGTTGATTACTCTCAACCAGCTGTCGATGATAGTTTCGTTGAAAACCAGAGTAATTCCAGAGCTGAGTTTGGCAACATTTTCCACCGAGATTTTTCAAATAAGCTGAGATTAGAATTGTCACCAGCTGTTTCAGATATTAATCCAGTTTCAAATAGCAACCAGAGTTCCAATGAAGAAGGGGAAACTACACAGAAAAAAATATCTGAAGGAGAACTTAGGGGCACGCGAACAAGAACGGAAGGCCTTTTCCTTGCACCTGAACCATTAGAACTTTCAGATACTGGAACATCTTTCGGATTTAAAATGGATTCATCCTTGTCAATAAAACCCCCAACTAGTGGAAGCCCTAGATTACATTCCTTGCAGCCAAATTTGACTTCCTGTGAAGAAGGTGACAGTCGAATATCCTGCCAATTGAATCTGACTCTAGCATCTTTGCCATCGCAAGTGAACAACATTCCTTATTCAGCTGGCATGCTCTCAGAATCAAGGTTTGTTGCTAACACTAAGGAATCCGACATTGTGGCTACCCCAAAGAAAAAAAATTTGGCTGATGAAGGGAAGCCTTTATCTGCCCCCCAAGAGGCTGCAAATAATCAAGCTGCTGCGGTGAAAGTGAATGATGTCTTCTGGGAACAGTTTCTAACTGAAAGACCGGGCTGCTCAGACAATGAAGAGGCGAGTTCTAATTATCGCACAAGCACATATGACGAGCAAAGTGATGGAAGATTAGGTCATGGAATATCCAAAAATGCTAAGAATGTGGAACAGCTTACACTCTGAGCACCACAACAACGATGAATCCCCGACCGATTGAAAAAGGTGTCTCCCAGTTCTTGTACATTCAAGATTCAACTTAATAAGACGCTGAATTTTTGAAATCTGACATGAAAGTTGACTTTTTTTTTTTTTTTTGAATAATACTTAGATGCCATTAGTTCTCGGTCCTGCTAGTTTTGGTTTATGTTATCCGACTTCTACTGTTCTGAGCGGTGTTACATTATTAGCAGCGTGGCACTTAGAGCATGCATTGTACAGCTAGTTATTATATGTTATATGCCGAATTCATTTATCTTGATAACATTCCCCCGGCTCCACTCAAACCATTTTTCTTTCTCTAAAATCTACTTAATTTATATGTTATTCAGTAGAAGTGTTTCTATTAACATGAATTTGGTCAGGATACAAACTGGTATTATGATTAGATAAAGTCTAGTTTGTAACTATTTTCAGATTATTAATCTAGAGCCAGAGAGTTCCCTTGCATAGATATCTATTTATGGGAGAAGTTGCTTCAGAGGCCAATTTCTAAATGATAGTTGGAGCAAGTGGCTATGAGTGTGTGCAGGAGATTGCCTTTAGCATTCCTAGACTCCTAGTAAATTATACGGGAAAAATTGCATCCTTCTATATGTAAAAAGATCCTTAAAGCAGGTTGGTGGGGTTTGACCAGCCTGCTTCGCCAGCCTACTTGCTTTTTTTTTTTTTTTTTCTCATTTTCTTTCTTTTCTTTCCCTCTCTCTCTCACTATATCTTCCCATGTCACACGTGCGCAAAATTAGACAATGGTTGCCGCTTGAAATGCCACGTTTGAGTGCTTTGCTTTAATCAACTTATAAATGTTATTATATTTAATGTAAATAACAAAACTGCCATTCTATAGGTGTTGCTGATGATGATCCCACGTTTATTTATTTATTTTTTAATGGCACACGTTTAATTAATCTAATCCTTATTCTTTTTTTAATAATTATATTTTTTTCAGCTCTTTTTGTTATTTCTATTATATCTCTTGCCTTTCATTTGTTTTTATCTTTATTTTTTGTTCCTTTATCTATTGGTTTTTTTTAGCTTCAATTATCATTATGTAATTTATATAAATTTTTTTTACCAAAAACAAATTTATATTCAATTTCGTACTTTTACTTTTTTCTTTTTACTTGTACTTCTTTACTTCTACATGAATATTATTAGTAGATACTTGTACTTTACTTCTACGTGAATATTATTAGTAGAGGGTAATTTTTTTATATATAGAAGGATACGAATGTGCAATATTTATTCTTAATACTAAAAGTATCTTATGTGAACAATATATAAGTATATATTTAAAAAGAGTGGAAGTAAAGTAAGAAATAGATTATTCAGCAAAAAAAAAACAAAAAAAACAAAGAAAAATAGATTGAAGAGCAGTTAATGAAATGAAAAGCATAACAGAATAATGAAAGAGATGATAAAAGGAGGGATTAAGGAGAAATAGAAAAAATATATAAAACAAGAGTGTTTTAAAATTTTGATTTATATAAATTTTTATATTTTTGAGAAATATATTAATTGTTAATTCAGACTTTTAGCCTTCCATTGGTAAGAGGGACAAAATATTAAATTAAACTTTGTAAAAGTATAATCCTTTTAGCTAAAAAAATACTAAAGTATAATAATAATAAAAATTATATAACGAATCAAATATTATATACAATGCAACATAAATGCTTCTATGTCATTTAAAAACGAAAGGCACGTGCTTTTGCACGTGCCTCCCCTTACTAGTATAATATAAAGAATTAACAGCTCTTGGTTTGGGTGGTCAAAGCTTTTGACCGTTTGAAAATTCGTCAAACCACGACTAACTATAAGGCGGTCCGGGCAGTTCTTTTACGATCGGTTTGGGCAGTTTTCGGTTAGCTACGGTTGCATCTTAAAACTTTAAATTATTTTGATATCTAAACCACTTAATCATCATGAAAAATCTGATGGTCTACTCATAATTAAAATCTCGGCAGTCTTAGTTTATAGTCCCATAAAAATATTATGAACATTCAAATATAATGACCCAAAATTATCTTCCACAAAAAAAAAAAACGATAAAAATTAACAAATATAATGAAAATATAATATCAAAGTGGTCGTAATTGTTTAAAGTTACAAAGATCAAGAAGAAATGACACCAAGATTTATAGTGGTTCACTCCATTCGTTCAAGAGCTATGTTCACTGTGAGGAGAGAATTTTTTTACTATGTTTTGAAAAATGAAGATTCCAGAAAAGAGCCCCCACGGGGCTTGCCATTTTTACATGTATATATTTGCTCCATCCTCCCTCAACCTCTGCCATTTTACTCATTACATTCTATCACATTGTCTCCATATTTTTGGACGTAATCCTCGGTGGGTGGGGTTTCTGCGAGTCAACAGTAGTTTTTCACCTCTTCCCCTACCAACTTTGCTTGCTTACAAGTCACGTAAGATATCCTGCAGGCTTAGTTTTTTCTCAGGCTGCGCGCATTTGACTCCTCAGGCGCCCATCAAGCCGTCTCCTCTTACACCTGCCTGGAGCGGTCGACCTCCTACTTATCCTGACTCCTCAGCATGGTCGACCTCTTATGGTGGTGTTATTCTCAGCTTGCGGTCGGCCTACATTGAATTTCATTTTGCACGATACTTGATGCTGAGCTATCATTACCATTTAATGCCTTCAGCTGTGCCACGTGGCCCTCATCTAGTGCATGATATAGGGTTTGAGATTTTACCTTACAACATTTGCCCCCCAGGTCGAGGCTTTCCTTTGGACTGCCTCGAGCTTAAACTATTTTGGATCCATATTTTAATTTTCCTCTCTAAGGTTGGCTTTCAGACGAAGGAGCCTATCCTTGCACCTCTAGGCAATGATGATTCTAAGATAGGGGATGTTTCTCGAGAAGAACAACAGTCGTTTCGGTTAAGCTCGTTAATCTACCATAATTTCTCTGATATTTGAGACGCACATCTGGACCGTCAGATCACATCCTTTCTGTTTCCCGCTCTTGCTCGCACCATTTGATTGCGACCTTTCGTCTCTACAATTGGATTGGCGATGATTTTATCCAACGGCCAGGGGTCGAAGGCTCCCATTCTTTATAAGAAGACTCTCCGTCTGGTTTTATTCATCAATTTGCAAAAACCCACCGATACTCTGCCAAATTTTCCCTAGAACTTCCTATTTCTTCTTTTAACAGTGCCTTGCGAGGATTTCTTCTACAAAGCTTCTGATTCCACTTCCTCCAAGTCTTGCGGTGAGTTTTTCTTCATAACCTTCCCTATGGTTTCTTTGTTTGCACCTTACGCTGTAGTCTTTATGTTTCTAGTTTTCCCACACTGGCTTTTGTCAATTTTTGCATGAATATGGATAGGAATAGGTGTTTAGGAACTAGAAAACTTTTGGGCTAGTTTTCTAGGTTTTTGGCCAAATGCAAAGAGTTTTGGATTTTTGGGTTCTGGGTGTTTGGCTAGGAAATCTGGATTTTTAGTTTGAATACTTGACGTTGTTAGTGAACATTCAACGCCCACGTTGAACGCTCAATGTTATAAGGCTAATTAGTTCATAGGTTGACTGTTAGACTGCCACCCTTGAAGGCAAGCGTTTAACCAACTCCTTCTTTCTCTCCCTCTCAGCTCATAGGTCTAACTTTAAGAAATTTCTTTTTTCAGAAATATGACACCCAAAACGCATAGTGGTTGAGAGGGGCCTTCTTCCGAGTCTATTGTGAGGCCGAATCCTCCCGTATCTGTCGTGCCGTTGATAAGTTCTTTCTCAACGGACGATGAGTCTATTGTGAGGTCGGATCCTCCTGTATCTGTCGTGCCGTCGATAAGTTCTTTCTCAACAGATGATGACACTTTACTGATGGAGGTTGAAGAGTATACTACCGAAGACGTTGATAGCGTTGACTGCCTTATCGAGGGTGACGAGGATGAAGACTTCGTCATCGCAAGTCAGACCGGCGACCCCTTGGCGGGCGTTGCTCGACACACGGGTGGTGAAGTTCATGGCTTCTCTATTTTTGTTGCGGATGTCCCCCTGGTGATGATGGGCAATGATCCTGACATACCATTCTTCAACGCCAATAGCACTGTGCCTAAAACTCACAATCGAGATATCTTAAAGGCGTTCAAGGACGGACGCATAGATGGGCGATGGTTTGAGTACCTTCTGCCTTATGCTCACTTCAGGGCTAGCCTTCCCCCACCCAGGTATCGCTCTGTCTACACCCAGGCCTTCATTACAAGGATGACTTTTCCCATTCATCCCTCGTGAAGGATTTTTGTCACCTCATGGCATCTCCCCTACTAAGCTGGCACCGAACTTCTGGTATTGTTTCACCGGGACACGGATCTTGTGGCACTAACAGTTCAAAATGGAGTTGCCACTGGGTGAATTTTTGTACATATATAAATTAAGCCATGTCGTGAAGTACAAAAGGTGGTATTTTTTAGGTAGTCACGGGTGATCGAATCCCATTTTAGGGAAATTAATTCAGGGAATTCCCTCATCTTCTCGTGGCTAGAAGCCAATGTTCTTCATGGTTAAAGGCCAGTTTAACCTCCATCCTACCGACTGCAGGCCTAGGCGTCAAAGGATTTAAACGTCGTTCGGGAGATTAAGTGAGCGCCCTACCGGTAGTTGTTTGGTGTACTTCCTCGCTCAAATCACTTTATGATACTAACTTCTTTCTTCTTCTGCAGAGCCTCAAGATCGCCCAAATCTTTTTGGAAATAGGAAGGCGAGAGTTCTTATAGCTTTTGAGATCCCAAAGAATAAATGCTACGTTGATGTCCTCCTAACCGAGGCTAATCTTAGGGAGTCAGGCCTACTGCTGTCTCTTCTTGATCCTAGCGACTTGCACACCATTTGAGAGTTTTTTAACCTCAGCGCGGAGGGTAAGTTTTAATGATCTCGACACCCTTATTTGCATTAATGCTTGATTTGCTTCCCTATTCTCTTTTTAGGTAAAGTTAACTTGTTTTTGCTTCACAGAAATGACTTCCCTGAACCTTCGACTCCCTACTCGTGGCAGGCACCCACAGAAGGAGAAGTCAAGCGCCGGTGTTTCTTCTTCATCTGCCCCTAAAAGGAAGGCTTCAAAAGCAGCCTCTGGATCCGCGTCGGGAATGTCAGGGATGTCGGGGCGCAAGAGACTTTGCCGGATAGGATGTTGGTGATGGAGGAGGCTCCAACACCAGTGGCTCCCATTCTTGACATCCCAGAGGGTCCTCCTCCAAAGGACCACCTGTACCTACTAGCGATGAAGAGTAGGGACTCAAATTTCCTAGTCCCTGATGTTTCTGACACCCAGATTGAGGCAACACTCGTCCTCCCTCCCTGATTCTTTGTGGTCTTCCAAGCCCTTTATGAGTCATTTTTTGACGAACATTTGGTCGATGCCTGATGAGTGCGTAATTTATGCACTCATTCGTTACTCCTTTAGCTAGTTTCGGCGTGTTTTTCCTCAAGTGTTTATGTAGATTTGATGATTTTCCCTTGAGTGTGCATGAATGGGTGAAATCGATGAGTTTTGAGGCATTTTAGATCAAGAAGACAGAGAATGAGGATACGGAACCTACAGATGGTGATGTGGTGCGAAAATGAGCAAAATCGAGCAAACCTGTATGAAGGAACAACGAGAGGTGCGAATGTCGCTTCCTTTATGGCGATATGTCATTGCTACCAGATGATATGTCGCCTGTTTCTAGGCAATGTGTTGCCTGAGTTACGCGCTTTGGCCGAGTGTGGTGCGCAGATTTTTATGGAAAGTCAGAATTGGCTTCTTTGGGATGTGCTGGGCGTGGAATATAAGGAAAGGGACCGAAAACTAAAGGAAAAGGAAGAAAACTAAATTGCTAAGGAAGAAAACAGAATTGGAGAGGATTCCAGTGAAATTGGAGCAGTTCTTCAAGAATTCCAAGCGTTCTTCGTTCTCTTCTTCTCTTTCTTCTTGTATTTTTCTAGATTTTGAATATTATTTTGAGATTGTGAATCACATGATGTGTGGCTAATTATCCTAATTGTTAGGGTTTAGATGAATCTCTATTTGTGATTATTGTTTCTACATTTTAAAGTGCATTTAATTAAAGTTCTTCGTTTCCTTCGTGTTTTATTTTGATTTGTTGCTGCCAAATTTATGATTTACATATTGCTATGCTTTGTGAAATTGTGAATTGGGCAAATTTAGATTGTGAGGATTATTACTCAAGAGGGGAACATTCAAGTAATCCAGAAGTGGGTAGAATAACTTAGGCCGGTGGTAGGTCGAGAGATAAACATTGCCTAGGTAGCTGAAACAATTTTAGGTTGTGAAATTGAGTAGTGGAATTCCAGGAATTGTTTCTAGAGTGGAACTTAATGAAGGTAGGGAGATGGAGAAAAAGGGGCGATATGTTGTCCATGATCGAGTAACCCAATTATACCTCCATTCATGTTTTTTTTTTCAAAATCCTTTAGGCGATATATTGCCTACTGATAGGCGACATATCGCCTGTCGTTTTGTCCCCCTCTCCTGTTTTGCCTCTTTTAATTTGTCATCCTTCAGGCGATATATCGCCTATTGACGGGTTACATATCGCCTGTCGTTCTGTCCCCCTCTCTTGTTTTGCCTCTTTTTTTTCTTTTACAATGAAACCCATTTGACACAGAATCAAAGAAAAATCGTATGTGGGTTGCCTCCCACGAAGCGCTACGTTTAAAGTCCTTAGCTAGACATAGTACCTCATGCTTCAAATGTCCTCGATGAGCTTGAGATTCACAATCTTCTCTACCTCGCCTCTAAAATAGTGTTTAAGGCGTTGTCCATTCACTTAATCGATACGGAGACATGCCGATAGGTGTCTTGAAAGCCGTCCTATATGCCCATAAAGCGTCGTCAAGCTTGTTGGACCAATCCTTCCGATTTGATTGCGCAGTCTTCTCCAAGATAAGCTTGATCTCCCAGTTGGAAATCTCCACTTGGCCATTGGATTGAGGATGGTAAGAAAGGGCCATCTTGTGCTGGACTCTGTACTTGGCCATGAGCGCATCAAACACCTTGTTGGCGAAGTGAGTGCCCTCATCATTAAGTATAGCTCTAGGTGTGCCAAAACGTGAGAAAATGTTCTTTCAAATAAACTTGACAACCACCCGAGCATCATTTGTGGGAGTTACGGTGGCTTCAACCCACTTAGTCACATAGTCAACCGCCAAGAAGATATAGAGATTACCAAATGAAGGCGGGAATGGTCCCATGAAGTCGATCCCCCACACGTCAAATATCTCAACCTCCAGTATATTGGTGAGGGGTAGCTCATGTCACCTCTATATGTTGGCCACACGTTGGCACCGGTCACACTTTTTGACGAATTCATGACAATCCCGGTGCAAAATAGGCCAATAGAACCCGCTCTTAAGCACCTTAGCGGCAGTTCATGCAACTCCAAAGTGCCCACCAATGGGAGATGAATGGCAATGAAACAAAATATCTGGGATCTTCTTTTCCGGCACACACCTCCGAATGACTTGATCGGCGCATCATTTGAAAAGAATGGGGTCATCCCAAATGTAGTGCTTCACATCATGCATGAACTTCTTTTTTTATTGAGAGGTCAAACCCCGTGGCAAAGCTTTACACATAAGATAATTGACAAAATCAGCATACCACGGGAGCTTTGCCTCAACTGCAAACAATTGCTCATCCAAGAATGACTCTAGAATGGAAGAAGCTCCTTGTTCTTTAACAACCCCTTCAAGGTGAGATAGAGGGTCGGCTACCACATTTTCAATGCCTCACTTTTCCTAGATCTCTAAATCAAACTCTTGTAGCTGTAAGACCCATCTAATCAATCGGGGTTTCACATCTTTCTTCTCGAACAAGTACCGGATAGCCACATGGTCTGTAAATACAATAACCTTAGACCCAATGATGGAAGGCCGGAACTTGTCGCATGAGTAGACCACCGCCAACATCTCTTTCTCCGTTGTTGTGTAATTCTCTTGGGCCTCATTGAGAGGACGACTTGAATAGTAGATTGCCCGAAAAACTTTTTCCTTCTGTTGGCCAAGCACGGCTCCAATAGCATAGTCACTAGCGTCGCACATGATCTCGAAGGGTTCACTCTAATCAGGGACGATGAGGATGTGGGCCGCTATGAGCTTTTCCTTAAGCATATTGAAGGCCGTAAGGCAAGAGTCATAAAAAAGAAATGCCACGTCTTTTTCCAATAAGTTGCAAAGTGGCTTGGCGATCTTAGAAAAATCTTTAATGAATCACCGGTAAAATCCCGCATGGCCAAGAAAACTTTGAATTCCCTTCATATTTGTTGATGGTGGTAAATTCTCAATTATGACAATCTTGGCTCGATCCACCTCCAAACCTAGCAATGAGACTTATTGACCAAGGACAATCCCCTCCTTCACCATGAAGTGACACTTCTCCCAATTAAGCACAAGGTTTGTCTCGACGCATCTTTGAAGCACCATCCCAAGATTGTGCAAACAAGAATCAAAAGATGAACCAAAGACTGAGAAGTCATCCATAAATACCTCCATAATATTCTACACCATGTCGGCAAAGATGGCCATCATGCACCGTTGGAAGGTAGCCGGTGCATTGCACAACCCGAAAGGTATTCGACGAAAGGTGAATGTACCATATGGACAAGTGAATGTGGTCTTCTCCTGGACTGCCGGGGTGATGGCAATTTGGTTATAGCCCAAATAGCCATCAAGGAAGCAATAGTACTTGTGCCCCGCCAATCGAACTAGCATTTGAACAATGAAGGGCAAAGGAAAATGGTCTTTCCGGGTGGCCTTGTTGAGCTTCCTATAATCAATACACATTCGCCACCCCGTTATCGTGCGAGTTGGAATGAGCTCATTTTTTTCATTCTTAACTACCGTCATGCCACCCTTCTTTGGCACCACTTGCACCGGACTCACCCATGAGCTATCAGAAATAGCATATATAATATCGGCATTTAATAGCATCAACACCTCCGCTCTCATAACCTCCTTCATTGGGGGATTAAGTCTCCATTGGTGTTCAATAGAAGGCTTGTAGGAGTCCTCCATGAGGATCTTGTGCATACAAATGGCCGAACTAATACCCTTAATGTTAGAAATTAACTAAACAAAAGCGGATAAGTACCTTTTTATCACGTTGATCAACTTCCGTTCATCCTCCTCACTCAAAGATGCCGATATGATGACCGGCTTAGTGGAGTCATCTCCCAAGAATACATAGCGAAGATGGTCAGGCAATTGCTTCAAAACTAGCCCATCACTAGTGGTGGCTTTCAATTTCGAGTCTTTATAAAGTGTAGGTACCTTAAGTACATCCCCTTCCTTCGGATTAACCTTCTCTTCCAGTAGCGCCTCTAGAGTATAGACACTATCAATCAAATCCACTTCACGTGCACCAAACTCCACCCCGAGATCCCCTTTAGAGAGCGATGTTGAAAGACATCTCTCCAAAGGGTCCTTATAAATAATGGTTTGAAAGAAGTCCTGTAAGCACGGGGCCACCACATCCACCCGGTTACAACTTGGTCGCTCTTCCAGAAATTTCATGGCGTTACTAATGTTGAACTTTACCTCTTCGCCATTCACCCGAAGTGTCAAGTTACCATCATGGACATCAATCAAAGCCTTCCCGGTAGCAAGAAAAGGTCGGCCTAGGATAATAGGAATTTCTTGGTCCTCCTCCATGTCTAACACCACAAAGTCAACTGGAAAAATGAATTTATCAATTTTAACCAAGACATCCTCGATAATACCTTTAGGGTAGGTGAGAGAGCGGTCTGCCAATTATAGTGAGATGGTGGTCGGCGTGATCTCTCCAAGGTTGAGTTTCTGGAAGATAGAGATGGGCATGAGATTGATGCTAGCCCTAAGATCACATGAGGCCTTCTCAATGTGAAGTTCTCCAATGATGCATGAGATGGTAAAACTACCCGGATCCTTTAATTTCTCCGGTAGTTGTCTCTTTATGATAGCGCTACATTGTTCCGTAAGCTTCACCGTCTCATAGTCCTCGAGTTTGCACTTCTTGGACATAACCACCTTCATAAATTTGGCATAGTTTGGCATTTGCTCGAGAGCGTCCACGAAGGGGATGTTGATGTGGATCCTCTTGAAGATATTGAGAAATTTCTCAAATTGCTCGTCAAGCGCCTTCTTCTGGAACCGTTGAGGGAATGGCAATGGGGGAGTGATACGAGGTGGATTATCCAGAAAAGTGATTGAACCTGGTCTAACCACCAGCGCTTCCTTCTTGGCCTTTAGGTTTTCCTCCATTGACTTATCCTTACCGTTGTCATTGCTCTTGGTAGGATCCTCATCAACCATGGCTTTTTGAACACTAGGACCTTCAAGCTCTTTGCCACTCCTCAAAGTGATGGCCTTGCACTCCTTTGGGTTCTTCTTAGTGTTGCTCGGGAAGGACCGTTGTGATTGCCTTTTAATAGCATTAGTCAATTGACCAACTTGTGTTTCTAGTGCCATCATACTGCCCCCCAAATTGGTGCAATGAGTTTCAATGTTGTTGAGACGTATGTCATGTTGATCAAGACGAGCCTTAGAGTCCACAATATACGTCTTAAAAAGCTCTTCAAGTGATGAGGAAGGCTTTTCCATTGCTGGTTTACTCGACTCCAGGGTCAGTTGTAAAACATTCCAGTTGTTGGCCCAAGAGAAATTCTCATGGTTACGGAGCCCGGGATGATAGTATGCCGGTAAGTTGTTGTTGGGCCTAAAGTTGTAGTTATGGTTGACGAAGGGACATTGCTCATCATATGAATCACTCGAGTTTGAAGCTTGTGCCATCTTTACCGCTTCTTGATTACCATTTGTATTGGCTACGGTAAGACCTTGGATTGATTAGTCAAGAGCGCCATTTGAGCCATGAGAGACGCCGTTTGATCCACATCATAAATTCCTACTACTCTCTTCACCGTGGACCGCTCATTTTGCCACCGATCACTACATCAATATGGGCCTTAGTTTGCCCAGTAATCCCATTGTAGAAAAGTTGCACTTGGAACCAATCCTCAATACCATGTTGAGGACACTTTTAGAGCATTTCCTTGAACCGTTCCCATGCCTCATATAATTGTTCATACTTAAATTGCTGAAATTGAGTGATCTCAGCCCTCAGTTGGGACGTCTTGGAGGGCGGGAAGAATTTGATGAGGAACTTTTAGGCCATGTCCTCCCATGCAGCTAGACTTCCTGATGATAAAGATTGAAGCCATGCCCAAGCTCGGTCCCACAAGAAGAATGGGAAGAGTTTCAAACGGATGATCTCGGAACTCACCCCATTAATCTTGACTATGTCACAAATCTCCAGAAAAGTGGCCAAGTGGATATTGGGATCCTCGTGTGGCAAGCCTACATATTGGTTCTGTTGGACCATATTGAAGAGGGCCAGCTTGAGCTCAAAGTTGTTGGCATTGACTTGTTGAGATTGGATGCCTGAATAGTTCTCGTTCACCACAGGCTTGAAATAATCTCGCAACGTACGTTGCTGGTCTAATTGGTTTTGTTCCTCTGCCATGTTTTTAGCTCTCCGATTACGCCCAAACGTGTACAAAAACAAGCGGTCAATTGTAGTACAATTTGAATGGTCGATCCCACGAGGAAGTGTTAAATTGAACAAGAAATGCCTAGCAAATAAAAAGCGTTAGGAAAGTAAGCAATCAAACAAAGAAAAAGAATGAGTGTTTTTGATGATTTTTGAACAATTTAAAATGGAGAAAATTCAATAATAAAAAGTGGTAAAGCTTTGAGAATCCTCCATATGCTTTGTTCACCTAATTGGATTTTGATTCATAAATTGACTCAATTGAAAGTTTCACATCCCAAACAATCAATCGAAAAATAAATATTTGAAGAACATATGAATTAAAAATGTATTCAAGTAAATAAAATTCTAACGTTTAGAATTAGGAAAAATTATCTTATGAGAAATCTAAGAGCGACAATATACCGTTGGAAATATTGCAGTAAAAGACTACTCATAAAACAATACCTATCAATATATAATATAATGCAACAATCACATAAAAAGAGCTTGACTAGATTTATATGAGTGTTGACAATAAAATATATTGATTGAAGAAATATAATAAAAGAAAATTATTTACTCAAATGTATAAAACTTACAAACCATTGGAGAATCAAAATCCAAATAAGTTCACTACACATATAGGATCATCTCTAGCCTCACCTAAATACTCTAGCCTAGCTTGCACATAATTCCCATAAAATTCTAAAAAGAAAGTATGAGAATAAGAACAAGAAAATAATAGAAAATGTGTGAGAATTTAGACTCCTCCAAAATTAACCCCTAATCACCTTGACAATGGCCATATTTATAGAGTTTTGAAAATGCTAAAATGCTAAAAACTGGATCCTAAGTAAGAAGTTACAAGGCTTAATCGGGGGAGAAAAACCATCACGTTTTTTAAGAGTGGGACACGTGTCGCAACGTGATTCACGCGCAGGAGAGATGTGGTGCACAGCTGGACCACGCGGAGGGAGATTGGACGCGCGCATGGAGGAGAACTCGCGCGGGGAGGGAACGTGCGCGCAAAGCGCGTGTACGTGGGGGAGCAGCTGGGCCCCACTGGGACGCGTGGCGAGATGTGGCTGGAGGGAGGCTGGAACGCGGGACCCACGCGGAGAGGAGAGGAGATCCGGGTGACGCGCGCGTGGAGGAGACTTGCGCAGGGGAGCGGGCGGTGCACGCCAGGCGCGCGTTTGTGAAGGGACAGCTGGGTCCCACGGCCCTATGGTGCGGCAGTGGTCGACACGTGGCGGCTGGGTTGGCTCGCGGCTTCTCGGCTCGACTCGGCTGGACAATGGGCTGATAGGCTTTGGGCCGAATTGGACTTTTCTTGGGCTCAACTTTTGGGTTTTGCTTGGTAAACTAGCCCAAATCCAATTGTTTTCTTCAAAAACCTGAAAAATAAAAAAAATCCAATTAAAATTAAAACCTCTAAATTTAGGAATATTTGAAATTAAAATCACAAAATTGATAAAATAGTTTGACAATTATGAACATTAAAAGTGCAAATTCGTGCACTTATCAGCAGTCACAAGTGCTGTATAGGTTGATGTTGCTGAACCAACATTTGTGACGGTTCTACCGGGGCCGTACCGGGGCCGCCCACGGGCCGTACCGGGGCCGTACCGGGGCTGCCCAGG